ATTTTCTTAGATTATTGCTCTGATACTGAAGTACTTTTTCCTAAGTTCATATTGCCAGTATCTTGGTTATCACTGAATAACATATCATTGTTGTGTCCTATTGATGTTTAGAACCTCTAAAGCTTTTGTTTACACGTTAGTGATTTAAACAAATGTAGAGGAATTGTTTGGAAGAAATGCTCTTTCATGCAGCATTAAACTATTCAGAAGTCACAAGCTTTTTGCTTTGATTACTTTGAATAGATTGTTTCATTTTAAAGTAAATAACCATGTAGTAGTTCTTTGCAAACATTTGAACAACGTTTAGAGGCAGGTATGCAATTAAGAATATTTAATTTAGCCAACTTCACTATAAATTTCCAGTGAAATAAATTTAGGAACAGGTTGTTCATGATAGAAGCTTTCTGAGAACAAGTGTTGGAAGATGTGAGTGAAAGCTGAAAACCTGGACATTGAATAACAACTCCAGGGGTGAAATTCCAATGGCCTTCTTGTCGCAAATCATTAGTGGTTATTGTCACTACTCACTGTCACTATGGATATCAGGATTTGAAAACCATCTGCAACTGCTAATAGAGCACCAATTTTTGAAAATTCTTGTCTGGGATCTTCCATTGCAGGTATGAACTGAGAGTTCATTTCTGTCTGAGAAATGAAGGTGCGCCAGCTCTTCAACTAATCCAAGAAAAAACAGCAGGACCTTCCTGCACATTTTGCCTGTGATTCTGATCCTACCCAGTTAGCAGCAGATCTTTCTGTCACGGATATTCTGACCAGTCTCTATTCCCTGTTCTGTGACCAGTCTTTTTTTCCTAGGCATTCATCAAAAGCAAGAATACCAAAATGACGACTTTTCATGTTCTACACATAGCAGTTAGATCCTATGTTTGCTTGGTATGCTTCATCTCTCAGTGATGTAGAGAGAAGGAAATAGGAACTCTGGCAGGACAATACAAATGTTGGCGTTAACAGCAATCCTTTCCTTAGAGTAAAGTAAAAGTAAGTTTTGAGGGTGGGGAATAATGCAATTAGTAATGATTTTTTGAAAAAAAAAAAAAAAAAGAGGTATTGTTAAACTCAGGAAAAATCTAATCCTCCAAAGACCTGTAGAACAGTCATTTATAGCTTTGAATGTCTTTCCAGATGGTACCTTCTACATCAGTTACCAACAAGCATTTTTGTCTAACAGGAGATTAGTATTGAATATTTTAAACAAATTAAATAATTTATTAATTAAATACTATTCAATTATTAAATATTATTTTAAATATAGATGCTGCCTGGACTTTCTGAAAACTGATAGAAACAGTTCTGAGAAAGAGGTATGACCTGCATCCGTCAAAGCAATGTTTAACTGCCTACGTTACTTGACATCCAAAGAACAAAGGTTTGCAAAAGGGAGACTGATAAGGTACAAATACCTGCATGTAGGCTACATCTTCTGAGAGCGTGCCAGAATTTGTCTGGGAGAAGGTGGAAAACAGACAATATAGATTGCTGTATTTTTCATCAAGTGGTTTGTACCATCTGTATATATTTTATGTGCGCCTTTTGAGAGGCAAGGAGTGTAACTTAGATCGCCCTAGGCTTTGTTCTCTGCCTCGACACCTACCATTTGGCATAAGATGTAGCCAGTAGAAGAAAACTAAGGTTGCTGGGACTTTTTTCTTGTCTTAGTTGCAACAGCTGCAAAACAGATGTAGGCGACGTGAGTCCTGCCAAAAACCTTTTCCAAGTCTCCCACCCATTTTCCACCAAAGAGAAGCTGGTCAGGTGATATGAACAGAGACCTGAAGGTCAGAACGAGAAGGGAGCTCCCAGTCCTGGCTCTATAGAGGCTGTTAAAAAGAAACAATCAGAAAACCTAGATTTACCGCTTTGGAAATTAAACCAACCAAAATTTCTAAAATTACTGTTCCAAGTAGTATGATGTCAATAGGAAATAAAAGGCAATCTGTACATGAACCACGGCAACACTGCAGCAGAGAGGGTCAGATAACAGCAAGAGTTTATAACTGGTGTTCACCTAATTAGCATCCGTCTAAGTTTCTTTTTAGATATATTTTCAGTATCTCAAATACATTAAGCAAATACAATTGTCTTGCTGGCCAGATCTTTGCTGAAACAGACTTCCTAGTATTGCAGTTGTTCTGTTGTGTGAACCTCAGTACTGAGAGGGAGTCAGCTTTCTGTGTACCCATTTCAGGTTTCTGTGTACCTCTTCAACTTTTGCTTTCAATGACATTTGAATATATCGTGGGGTTTTTCAGAGTATCTTGGCTATTACAAATGCATTAAATGACATTCACAACAAATAAATAAAAACCTGAAACTTTTCTGACTGTGTCAGTCTGCTGATGAAATGATACTGCTGACAAAACTGTGGCTTCCAGGCACTTACACTCCAGCATTGACTTATAGGTAGTATCCAGCAATGGCAGAAATGTCTAAATAATCAGTTGTCCAAGCATGCTTCTATTTACACAGAATCTCTGTGGGCTAGCATTGCTAGCAGTGCTGAATCCTCTGTGCTGGCAGAGGTGAAGGACAAATGCTACTCATGCAGTTACATTTCCCTTTCCTTACATCAGTATCCCCAGGAACCTGGAATTTAGATGCTAAGCACATCTTTAAACTGGGAACTCAGGGCCATGAGTATTACCCTGAACGATGACTTGGCTCATTATGCTTTTACTGGCTGTACAGTAATTCTGTTTTCCTTATGGAATCATCTTCTTGCAGAAAAATTGTTTGTGTTATACGGCTCACTCACTTACAGAGATCAGTATCCTCCTGGGAGACGTACTCCTGAAGTTTTTGCCTTTGACCATTCACAATAGCAGTAGCTACCACGGTTTTACACATTTGACCCCACTTTCTGTTGCATTTGCAGGCTTATGTCTTAATTTCTAGTATTTAATTTTCAATATGCTGTCAGTGTCATCTGTAGGTGCATTACTTCTATTTAAGGTCACAACCTTTAGTTTGGAAACCAGTGACCCATGGGTCTTTCTTACAGAAAGTACTGACAAGGGAAGACTTCTTGGCTCATGGCCTCACATGGGCACAGATTTACCAAGAGAGTTAAGAGGACTTTAGCAATGGCTTGCATGAAATACATTTCCATGTTGTACTGAAGATAAGCAGTTTGCACACCCACCTGCTTTCAAACATGTATGAAACATGTCTCTGGTGGTATAAGAATGGTAAGTCCGAATGCTAAGAACAATGAGTTAGGTATCTCTCTTCAGTTATTCATTGGAATACTGATATAGGGGTTTAAGTATTTAAATTCAGGTCATCTACATAGTATTTGGACTTTATGATGAGGCGGCAGACAAGGAAATTTCAAGGAAGAAAAGCAATGTGCACACTCCTGCAATGAAAAAATGAGGAGAGAAGTTATAGTGACTCTAGTTTGCCAAGTAGTATGAAGGAAGAAATGTGGACTTCTAGGTTTAAGGTGGTTTTGATCTGTCAAGTTTTCTATGTTGAGTTTGGCTAATGGACCTTGGCCCCACACTGTAGTCAATGGGTGCACCATCTAATGGGGTCTTATCCTAGAAAATCCCTGCTCCAGTTGTGGCTGAACACCTCCCAGACCCACTCAACAACATTATTGGATACCCTCAGTCATACACACTAGCAGAACAACCATGTGTGAAGCAAAGTTCTGTGTGTCATGTCAGAAAAATTTAAGAGGTTTGGTGATTTGAATCCATTGGCTTTAAAACATTTTAAATTAATGACTATAGCACTGAGTCAAACAACAACAGTTCTCATAAAAAAAAAAAAAAGAAAAAAAAAAAGAGTTCCCTTCCCAGCAACAGAGTAAGTGACAAAAAGTGAAAACATAGATAGTTGACTGTAGTTCTGAAACCAGACCCACTGGCCAGTTGGACAGTCTCAGGCATGTAGATGATTCATCTGACACAGAGTCCCAGGGAGTGATTTCTTGCGGGCCTGTTCATTTGGATGTTGATGCAGGTTTCTATTTAAATCAGCAGCTGAAGTGTGAATTTGTCTGTGACATTTTTAAGATGGCTCATGAGGCCAGAATTTGACTAATGATACTCCTACTGATCTCCTGCTAATTTTGGATTTATAGGTGTTGTATCATACCCAAACTTATGAATGTCTGGTCCATTTTTTTTCTTTCCACTCTCTCGTTCTCTGTTTTCTACTTTTTTTTTTTAATTTTTTTTTTTACAGTTTGTTCTCCTTTCATTTACTTAAACAGACTTAACTGACAGCAACACAATGACTGTCACTGAGTTCAGTAGTTTGGCTCAGGACCAAATTTACCTGTTTCTGAGACTAAAAGGCATGAGGAGGGTGGCAATGAAACTTTCATCAAAGCTTCTCTGATTGTGGCCAAAGTGTTCCTTAGGTAATGAGCTGTACTGGTAGCAAATTTCCTATGCTGATACCAGCTGTGGCATAACCTCCCTACCTGCACCTTGGTATGAGCAGGAGATCCCATTATCACATGGAATGTGCTCACCAATTTCTTTTTGATGTGTGTTGAATTTCCTATGCTTTGTCTGTTACCTTCCCCTGACAATGTGTTCTTTAAAGTAGATTGTTGTCTTAAAGTATCAGTGAAATGATAGGCGAGAGATATTCTTGAACTATTACTCATTAAGACACTAGTCAAACGATACACATCCTGTACTGGTTGGATGCACTGAGAGTTGCCAGAAGTGGGAAGGAGTTGAAGCTTTGCAGAAATTCTACAGAGAACTGTTAGGAAATGAAACACTGCAAGGTTTTAAGCCAAAGTTTGGTGTGCATGAATGGAAGCAACAGATCACGTCTGTCAGAATTACTGCTGCTTTCCTGATTTACAGTGAAGAATCCATAGGTATGAAGGCAAGGTTGTGTTTCTGAGAGAAGAAAGTTTGAAGAATGTAACTTAAGCACATTGTTATCTTTGGGCTTGTTTCCTATTTAGCTGTACACTTGTGATTACTTCCATTTTTTCATCTTTTATTTTTCAGACTCCCAAGAAGGAAACTACAAGTCAGAGGTCAACAGTAAACCCAGGAAGGAAAGGACAGCTTTCACCAAGGAGCAAATCAGAGAGCTAGAAGCAGAATTTGCTCATCATAACTATTTGACCAGGCTGAGGAGATATGAGATAGCAGTAAACCTCGACCTCACTGAAAGACAGGTACTGATGCAAAATAACGGACTTTAAATGCTTGCCCAGTAATCACCAGTGGATAGTAGCTCCTCACAGTAGAGTTCTTGTTTATATTATTAATAGATATGTTGATATATCAGAAAGAATGTTTATAGCAAAATGAGATACATTTATTAGCTCTGTTATGCAAATGATTTATGGTTTTATATGTACCAGCTACAGATTAGTTTCATCTAGTAGACAGAGGTAGAAGGTAAAAGCACAGTAATATATCTGTTAAACTGGTGCACATCTTTTCTAATCTGTCCACACTGATGTGGCTGAAGAAGTGGTAAGTCCCAAATACTGCATGCACAAGCAGTTGATTTGATTGCATGTTACAAATATGAGCATCTTGTTTTAGTCTATTAAATATATGCAGTTGCCATTTGTCCAGAGTTTCTGAACATCCTGTTTCCAGATGGCAGCAAGAATGGGAACACCAGCAAAACTGGAATACAGGCATTTTTAACCACTTTATCTTACCCTGCACTGTGAAAGCAGAGGAGACAATGGAATTTCTTATCACTGTTACTGGTTTCCTGCTCACCAAACCCTGGTCCGGGAAACACTTCTGTATGTGCTCAAGTTTCATCATGCATGTTGTCACATTGATTTCTAATGGAAATACTCATGTTGAGCATGTACTGAAGTGTTTCAGGATCCCATCCCAACACACTAAATAGGTAGTCACGTCACATTTCAAATAATAATTACATCAACATAAGCATTTAAAAAATGTGTTTTAGTAAAGACATTTAGAATACTGGACTCAAGTACACCAAATCTGATGAAATACTATCTACAGTTTTATCATTAAAATTGGAAGTTTTTTGCCCACTGATAGACAGCCATCCTTTCTTCAGGAATCAATATTAGATTGAGGGACTGCTTTAGATACAATCAGTAAGATGGTGATATATTCAAGAGAAGGTATCAGAGTAGCACCATGATTTGTGAACTCTAGACATGAGAAGTTTTGTCATTTTCTTGAGTTTCATTAACACCTGCTATAAGTAGACATCTCGGTGAAAATCCAGCCTTTTCTATACACATGAACTCACATTTACTAACACAAGCAAATAGGTTTTTTTCTTTGAAGGCTTCTAGAAGATGGCTGTCCCTTCCAGCTTGTCAAGAAGAAGCCAGGAATTTCTGTTGTTTGACTTGAACATATTGTCAGGTTCCACTGGGGTCATTTTCAGTTACTTAAATATGCTTGCTATATTTCTAAAGCACACCATTCTGTATCAAACAATTGATAAAATGTTGCCTTTTTCATTTCCACTGATTAAGGTAAACCTAGACAATTAGATTAACTTCCACACTTGATTTTGGCAGCTCAGGGGAGGAGGAATGACTTCTTGTCTCACTCACAAAGGTAGAGTTGGTGTAGAATTGAGCAGAGATAAATAAATTTTTAAAAATATCTGCTGGACAATTTGATAGGAACCAGTCAGCTGAATTCAGAAAACATATCCCCATATTTAATAGTGGTGAATTTGGCCTGGAATTTAACTATTCTCCCTGATAAATTATGTATTCTTTTCTTCAAAGATCAGGTTGAGTAGTACAACTAAATGAAGAGACAGTTCACTATCCTAAAGGAAATAGCTAAACTAAAAGCATTTAACATACTGAAAAGGGACAGGTAAATATAGAATATTGTCTCTGGAGGAGAAAAGGCAGCCTGTGCTACACAAGTGCAGAGAATTCACTTAAGTCATGGGAGCTCTTGCTGTTTTCTAGCTGTCACATAATGTCCATTCTAAGCATTCTGCTGAAAATTGTGATAATTTCTATAGAATTATAATTAGTCTATCTAATTATGTAATCTAATTCTTCTCTGCTTCCCCAGATAATCACAGTGACAACTGAGCTGCTAGAGATAACTCCCTTCCTTCCTTCCTTCCTTCCTTTCTTCCTTCCTTCCTTCCTTCCTTCCTGCCTTCCTGCTTAAAGCCACCCTTGCTTACAAAAGGAAAGGATTAAGATTTTTAGCTTGATAGAGTCCAGTTCTGTATCTTGGCACAATACAATGGTTTGAGAGAAAAAAAAAAAGATAGCATAAAAACTCTATCATTAATTGAAAACAACAAGACTATTGAGAGGAAATTCTGGAAGTATTTTTTCAGTTTCTGAATCATACTAAGCTAAGTAATGATGTCACCTCTAATGTTGTCAATTAGAAATGTCTATCTTAAATCAAATATATTGCTTTGATGGAAAAATGGTGTAAACAGGCATGGAACTTCGTGTGGGTTGCCATGGTATATGGAATTCTTCAGAATTCAAATGCAGTAAATCAGAAGGCTTGAATTCTTCTTGCATACTTGTTTTACATTACTATTCCTTCAGTGAATTAAAAAAAATACTCCAGGGTGAACCTGGTGTGAGTCTAATATTTCTTTTTTTTCCAGTTAAGAGACTGAACTCATATTCAGGACCTGTCTTTCCATCATTAGCAGAATGAATGAGTATTCTTGAGTGGGATAACAGCACTTGTTTGTTCACTTACTACTGTTATTACTTTCTTTTACTAGCTGTCCCAACAGAGGAGATCATGTTTGATACCTGTCTTAAACAGATGCAACAAATCCAGTCCTTTCTCTAAAATCATTATGACTGAATTAAAATAGATTGATGGAATTCCAAAAAAATACTCTCCAGTGAGGTAACATTTTTAGAAAATTACTGTTTCTGGAGCAGTTTTCCTTTACTATTTTTCCCCCAAAGGCTGCACTGCAGAAAACGGTACCTAATAGGCAGTAGTTCCTTTGTTTGCAATAAGTGAACACACAAGTGATAAACTTGACCTCATCACAGGATGTAGACCTATTTGTGTTGGAAGCTCTCTTGATCTCTCATGAAACATTGAATTTGCACACAGGGAATTGAAACTTGCTTCAGATAATACAATGACAAAAACCAGCAGTGGGTATCAGGTGAACTAACATATCTGCTTAGAAAATAGGTTTGAGAGCAGACCTAACCCCTGATGTAATGAATTGTTTAGCATAATTGTTTTTACTAGGTTTTTAAAAAATGACAAGTATCATATTATTCAGAAGGCAGAAGAACAAAAATTAATCTGGGGAAAGTATTGTTGGGTCATCCTAAAGTTACAATTTTCAGTTATTTCCCAAGATATGAGATAAATCACGGAGCCTATTATCTTAAGAAAGCTCTATCTTCCTCTTGACTATAGTGATAATTTCAACCATACGCCACAGCTTAAAAGAGGCACTGACCAACTAACACTTCATAATTACCTCTCTGGCATTTAAACAAGCTGTAGAAAAAGCCATATGTCTGACCATATTTAAAAAGCTATATAGGGGTATTAAAGTTTTCTACAGTCATCAAAGTAAGGCTCCATTTGGCTTTTGAAACAACTTACAAGATCAGTTCAAACATAAATGACTCATGGAAGGCCATTTCACGAAAATAAAAATGAAAAAGCCCCCTCACAACATATGGATCAGGAGAAGGAAGTAATCCTATCACTCCCTAAAAAAGAAACCTGAGTTACAAGACAGGAGGATGAAATGAAATAAGTGCCTCAATTGCCTAGATATTAAGAGTGCACTTTGAGAGCATTATAAGCACATCTGGTGGTAGGATGGCTCTATTATGGTATTGTAAGAATTCCAGCAGTATAGGTACATATAATTCCTGCTCCATCTCTTATAGAGTGCACTCACAATTCCTGCTCAGCCAGCAGTTAATAATTTTCAGCTGGCAGGCCTCTATTATATTTTGAAGAGCCAGTTAGACTAAAAACTATCTTAGCTCCCTAGATATTTGTAACCTTGACAAGCGCATTCTTGGCTTTTTTGTACATCCAGATAAACTTGGAGAAGGTTCCATGCAAACTTTTTAATATCTCGCTGTGGGATGAGGAGAGGAAGCAGCTGCAGTGGGGTATCAGAGGCGTGGCAAAATGGACATTTTTATGGAGTTGGTCCTGCCAAATATAGAAAGAGTAGGAGATCTTTCCACCTCGCAAGATCTTTTTGCATGGAGCTAATCAAAAGAGTAATGTTGCAGTTCTGCAGGCTAGCTAAGGTTACCGGAATAAACAGTCCAAATATGTAATGCTTCTCTTTGCCAACATAAACGGAAAATCCCACCTAGTCAGATTAAATTCTGCTGATGGCAATGAGAAGGTTTATTTCTTCTTAACTCTAATTTCCAATACCCACCCAGAAGCCACCAATCATTTATAGAAGGCCTGAAGCATTGATTTTGCACAAAGGACAAAATTTTGTCAAAATGAAGAATGCTTTTGCATCTGTGTTTGACTTCCATGTATGTGGTACCAACACGGGATGAGTGGCAAAGGAAGAAGCTTTGTAATGCCTTTTTATACCAGAAGGAGAAGCAGGCAGCATTGTTATTTATATGCATTTGGGCAATGTTGGTATAGTATCTAGGGCAATGGGGCCATAACCCACACTGCAGCACTGCATTGTTATGACTATACAAATAATAAATAACGTTTTCCATCAGAAGAATTTCCTCCAGACCAGGTTACCTCAATCCTTCATCACAAGTGACTTCATTAAAATCCTTTTCAGCATCTCAGAGCTCAGGGGAGGCTAATCACTGCATTTTGTAGGCTTGACTGGTAAGGTAAGTGTAGCTCCCCTTAGTTACCTGTGTGAGAAACCAGGGATTTCAATGTTCCTCAATTAGGTGTTTGTTCTGAACCACCTCTGGAAGAGTCAATGTCTCTACATGCATAACACAGCATGACTAGTTTCCTACTTTAGGAAGTTAGATTTCTAAGGTTAGGTGGTGAAATTATTCCCATGTATACTTTCAAACAAAATCAAACAATGCATTGTTAGGACAAGCTTGACCATGTCTGTCTGATTTATTGTGCTGTCACATCTTCTCTGAAAGGCAGCTGCTCATTCCAAGCTTCCATGTGTTAAGCACTCTCTACACACACTATAATAATGAGCCTGTGTGGCTTGAAATCC